TTGTTCATTTTAAATATTCATTTGTGTGTGTGTGTGTGTGTGTGTGTGTGTGTGTGATTTTTTTCCATTAGAGTGGTTGTAAAACCCTGCATAGCAGGAATAGGCCAGATAGACAGGGATGGCTTTCCCTGCACTGTTTTTGTTCCCAGGCTTTAAAAGCAACAATGGCAATTTCAGGGGAGTCATTGCTTTGATTGTTTCATGTGGATGGATTGGGGTTTTTTTTCCCAAAGAGCCTTTTTACAAATCTGAGATGACCTTTGCTTTTTCTGGACTATGGGTAGGAACCAGAGGAGGAAAACCAAACCAGGATGAAATTCAGGGTGTTCCTGTGAGCTTCTGCAGTTTCCCTTGAATTCAGAGTCATTCAGGCTCTTCTCCTCTGGTATCAGATCACTGTCTACATTGTACTCAAGTCCACCAGGCTTTCATGATCCAAAGCAACAGCTCTTGTTTCCCTTTCTCAGAGAATCTATTCCTTGGCCTGACATTCTCAGAAATTTAACTTTTATACACCTGCCTTATTTCCCACTGCTTTCTCAACTCTCTGTGCCATTTCCTGATGCACATGTGTTTATCATTGAAGAGGGATCATGAGCTCCCTGAGAAAGACAGAATTTTTTTGAGTCTCAGCTGGTGTCATCTGAAATGCCCTGAGTGCCTTCCTTCACCCCAGCTCCCAGTTCAGAAATGTTCTTGTCCTCTGCATGCAAGTTTGTCACATCTGCCAGCACCACATGGTGGTCTGGAATATCCCAAAGCACCTCAAACATTGCTGGATTCCCACCTGTGATGGTTTCACTAAGCTTTGATCCTCCTTTGAGCAAACAGACATCATTTAACCAAGGACACCCTGGGGTGAGTCTCCACAGTAGGAGCTGAATCCTGTCTGAAATGTCTTGTCAAGCTCACTGTGATGTGAAGGAGAACTACTCCCTGGTTTAGCTTGGATTTTATATGAGATCTTGGGTAAATCCTTCAAATCTTGGTGCTTCATCTGTCAAAAGGGACATTGTAGAGCTCTGCCTCCTCATGCTGAATGTAGGTGAGCAGATGTCTCACTGCCAGGACTTCAGGGTTCATCCCTAAAGGAATCTGGGGGATTATTTCTTGTGCTGTGTCATTCAAGACACAGGGACTTGACTCCTTGATAGTGCTGACTTTGGCCTGTGTGTCACCCATGGCTTCATAGGGCAGAGAGGTTTGAAGAGAACCCCAGTCTGTGCCAGTCTGACTCGTTGTGAGCAGGTGGGATACAGATCCCAGAGCTTCCAGCCCCACAGGAGCTGATTTGCACCTGACTTGAGAATGCCTGCAGAGATGTAGTTGTGCATGGTGGGGATGTTCCACTCCCAAGGCTGGGAACAGAGTGGGAAGAGTGGGAGTGGGCTTTTTTCGAAGTGACTTCACTGTTTACCCAACCTCATATCTTTGATAAACAAACATTAGAAGGGAGTTGAAACCTACTCATGCTCCACCAAGGTGCATCATTTACCACATGCAAGAGTCAGAATCAAAATAAAAAATGACTGCTCATGTGATCCAACTTTTCAGGACTGTTTGTTTTAGTTATAATTGAAGAGATGTCTTAAGTTGCTTAGAGATAAAGTCTGGAGAAGTTGAGAGGAAAAAAAGGGATTGTTTATCTCACCATCTGTGAGAATTGTAAACTGCATGAAGATGTCACAGGCTAGAAGTCACAGGGAAAGTTGGGAATGGGAAACTTGTGGTCAAGATGACAAAAGTGCTGTGTCATTTAGGTCTGTATGAAAGAGCTAGGGAATAGTTTCTGTGGCAGTAAGTAAGAATGATGTAAAAGTCTTAACACTACTCCATAGTTACTGCTGACATCCACCTACAGATCTCCCCCCTCACACCCAGGTCCAGATCCTGCTCATCACCAGGGTGCCCAAATTCACATTCAACACAAGGCTTGTGAACTTTTAGACAACAGCAAAAATATGTCAAACTGCCCAAAGATCCTTCATTGCCTCCCTCAGATCTCGGTGCAGATGAAGAGACAATGAGCTGTTCTGTACTAGGGGGGCTCATCCCGCCTGACTGCTGGTGCTCGCAAGTCCCCTGGCAAGGGATGGAGTCAGACACCTTGGGAGCATGAGTCAACCCCTCCCTGTCCCACACACGGGTGTCAGGACAGGCTGAATCACTTTCTGGGGGTGTCTGCCTCTCTCTGCTGGCTGGAGGAGACGTTCAGATGACTGTCAGCAGCCCGGGTGCCGTGCGAGTGACTCAACGCACGCACTCTGAGCAATTTACAGCAAGGGCTGTGATTAGTGGAGGGTTCTGCCCTGAAAACATTAGGTAAAGCCTTTATGTGCAAACTGGGGGATTGTTTTGGGTGTATTTAATTCCTCTCTCTTTTCTGGAATAAATGAGCCCAATAGAAACATTTTTAATCCAGGCTGACACATCTGTCTCCTGTGGGTTGGTGTTGCTTGAGTTTCGCTGTACAGGTACAGCTAATGCTGAACAAGTTTCTAGTAAAACAGCACTAAAATAAGGCAATAAGTGACATATTTTTTCTCTGCTTATCATGGAAAGTTTTTAAACTGAATAGCCAAGAGGCAAAGCAACAAACAGTACTTATACACATAACAAAACTTTGTGGCATGACTCATCCTTCCAAAACTGTTAATAGTCTACCAATAATGTAGCTCATCTTGTAGGTTAAAAATGAATCTAATCTACATCTGCTTGAGTATGAGGCTGTTCATATTTAAGAGTTTTCATCCATTATGGGGAGAGACTGAGGGAGCTGGGCCTCTTCAGTCTGGAGAAGACTGAGAGGGGATCTCAATAATCTGTATAAATACCTACAAGGGGTGCTAGATGATGGTGCCAGACTCTTTGCAGAGGTGCCCAGTGACAGGATGAGAAGCAGTGGCCATAAAATAAACCACAAGAAGTTCCACCTCAACATGAGAAAGAACTTCTTTAGCTGAGGGTGGCAGAGCACTGAACAGCTGCCCAGGGAGAGCAAAGAATTCCCTCTCTGGAGACATTCCAAACCCACTGGGATGTGTTCCTGTGCCACCTGCTCCAGGTGATCCTACCTTGACAGAGTGATTGGACGATCTCCAGGGCTTCCTTCCAACTCCAACCATTCTGTGAGTCTGTGGTTGGAATCCCCAAGTCCTATGTGCAAGTGTTTCTTAGCGTGGACTTAGAACTCAAGGGAAATAGTGGCTTTCTTAAAGTTGGTGGCTTAAAGCTTCCTTCTTGGATAAGGCCACTGCTCTCACTGCTCTGCTGTTTGCTGTTTTTCAAAGTTCATTCTGAAATTCAAATGTCCATTTGAGCCCAAATGCAAGGGATTCGGAGGGAAACCTGAGAACTAATTAAAAGGTGTAGTTTTGGTGCACTTTTCAGGCTGTGAGAATTCCAGCAAGGGTGGAGTTGGAGTCTGCCATCCTTCCTGACCTTCTTCTCCACCATCCCTCCTCCAGACACAGATAGATTGGAAGGAGGGAAATCTAACCCTGCCACACTGTGGGGTGGGCTCCTCAAAACCAAGATAAATTCTACAGAGTGAGATCTGAGGAGTCAGTCAACCTTATTTGCGTTCCCATGGAAGCCAGGCCCCTGTGAGCAGAGAGAAAAGGAAACAGGAGATGTAGAAATTTAGGTTTTTCAGGCATTTTACCTTTTTAACTCTGAGCAGCTGCAGCAAGATCTTCCTTGCATTTTCTTAAAGAAGTAAAAGCCAAGTAAGATCTGGACCTATCACCCAGTTACACATCAGAGATGGAGGGGCATTTCTCACTGTTTTGCTTGGAACCATTAGCAGTTTTTCCTTTGGACTTTAAAGGTGATGTTCCCAGATAAATCTTTGGCTAAGGCCCAAACCACCCATATCTACCAAATTACTGAGCTTCCCAAATACAGATTTTGGTTCATCATCTGTGTCCCCACCTGCAGAACAGTTGTTCAGTGAGCAGCAGTGTGGGCAAAGGAATAAGATGCCAGCACCTCTTTCTTTTCCCAGGAATCTCTCAAATATTTTTTTAATGTGATGCTTTGCTCCACGAGTTATTTAATCTACCCTTGTGAAAATCAATGGAATTATATTTTTAAAAGCCTCTTAAGTGTGGTGGGCCCACAATTTTATCTTCTGGAGGAAATAAATCGTGTAAGTGTTAGGATGGAGAATAAGACCAGGTCCCTTTGGAATATCATGGGGTGTTCTGCCCCATGTCAGGGTGCAGCAGGATGTGTTGGGGGCTAAAGGTGACCCCAGTGCAGGCTGTGCCCTCTCTGACATGACTGTCACTTGGATTTGTGCTCCAGGCAGGAGGCAAGACTGGAGAAGAGCTACCTCCAGTAGAGGTCTTGGATCCATCCCAGAAACAAGGCAGGGATTTGCTGGAGAGATCGGATCCTTTGTTTTGGGACTCTTTCAAGGGTATTGATGAGTCTTGATGCTCCCTGGATTTATCTGCATGGGACAAAAACCTTGTTTTTCTGAAAGGCAAATACAAATGGGGAACCCTGAGTAATACAAATCAATGGGAATGTTACTTAAATAATAGTATTTTAGGATTAAAAAGAACCCAAGCAGTTGCAGGAAATACAGGTGTCCTGCTCTTGCCTTGGTGCATTCCAAGAGAGATTCTGCTCTCCAACAAAGTAACTTTCACACTTGGGCTTCAGCATTCAGATGGGATCTGGATTTCAAACTCTCCAATGTGGATCCAGTCAGGATGAGCACAGAGGCTGTTCCCTACTGGAACTGCCAGGGTGGGGTGGCCGATCTAGTGGCACAGGAGGATAAGGACAAGGAGTCAGAGAACTCCTGGATACCATTTCCAGTTCCCGCACTGATATCTCTGTATTTCTCTCCTCCAGACTGTAAGGACAACCTGACGTGAGTTGAACCTTCAGGCTCCAGAGCCTGCCCCAGATGCAATAATTTAGTGAGCAGATGATGTTTTCCACCAAAGCTCCTGTCTAACTCAGTGGATCTGTGTGTCTTCCGGCAGGTGTGTCCTCTGTGGCCTCCCTGATGTCCCTGGCTTGGGTGCTAGCCTCCTATCACAAGCTTCTTCGGGACTCTAGGGACGACAAGAAGAGTATGAGCTACAGAGGGGCCCTCATCCATCTCTTCTGGCGCCTCTTCACCATCTCATCCCGAGTTATTTCTTTTGCTCTCTTTGCTTCCATCTTCCAGCTCTACTTTGGGATCTTTGTAGTGGTCCATTGGTGTGCCATGGCTTTCTGGATCATCCATGGTGGGACAGATTTCTGCATGTCTAAGTGGGAGGAGATCCTCTTCAACATGGTGGTAGGGATTGTGTACATTTTCTGCTGGTTTAATGTCAAGGAAGGGCGGACTCGATACCGAATGTTTGCGTATTACACGGTGGTCCTGACGGAGAACGCTGCCTTGACGCTCCTTTGGTATTTTTACAGAGATCCTGACACCACTGACTCCTATGCCGTGCCAGCACTGTGTTGTGTCTTTCTTAGCTTTGCTGCTGGGATAGCTTTGATGCTGTTATATTATGGTGTGCTGCATCCCATGGGGCCAAGAGCTAAGATCTTTGCCAGCTCCTGTTGCGCCGAGCTGCTCTGGGGCATTCCTTTGCCCCCCGATGTTGAGCCCATGGCGCCCCAAACCCCTGGGTACCGGGGGGCCCAGGCTACGCCCACCAGAGCGGTCACGGAGCAACAGGAGGAACTCACAGCTGACACTTGCTTGCCCGTTTTCCAGGTGAGAGCAATGGTACCATCTACTCCATCTGGGCGACCCTACCCCCCCGAGGGGCCTCTCATTAAGATTGACATCCCAAGAAAAAGATATCCTGCCTGGGATGCTCATTTTGTAGACAGGAGGTTAAGAAGAACTATCAACATCCTCCAATATGTCACCCCCACAGCTGTAGGTATTAGGTATAGAGATGGACCTCTCTTATATGAGTTGCTACAATATGAATCTTCACTTTAAAGCTCCTTAAAGCAAAAGTAAAAGAGGGGACCTTATTTTTGTTTACGGTAAACACAGATCATGAAACAAACACAAACCTTCAGATAAGCTTTCTTTCTGGTTGCTGTATGTATAAAAAAAAAAGATATTCTCTATGTTTTGTAAGTAAAAACAAAAAGAAAAACTTTTCTTTTGTTTTTTACACACAAGAAACAGTATTTCAACTTCCACACCTAGGATTCACAGGTGGAGAAGGAGGCATCTCCACATCAGTTTTATACCGTACACCAAGTGTAGAACATTATTTATGGGATTGGTGCTGATTGAAAAATAAAAAAAAAAAACAAACAAACAAACCTACAACTGCCTTATGCCCTTAGGTGCTGAGTTTCATTAAGTACTGTCACCTTTCTCATGCAAAACTCTTTGATGATTATATGCCAGGAAAAAAACAAAAGAAAAACCAACCATCCAACTGAAATGCAAACCTTTAAATTAAAAAAGAAAAAAATTAACAACAACAAAAAGAGAGAAATGTATGAAAAAAAAAAAAAAAGTCCTGTTGCTCATATTGGATTTAGCAGAAAAAAAACCCTCCAAATGCCTAAAGATAAGAAAGAAAAGATAAGAAAGCAAAGCCAAGACAACCCCAGTGGAGTTTGATTTTTCCAACAGCTGAAAGACAAAATCAGGTCTGTAAGATAATTTGGCAAGGAATTTATAACACCATTGGGCCAAGCCTTGACCGAGTCGTGTTATAAAGGCAACCCCACCCTGGGACCATTTTCCTCGAGGAAATGGACCCTGTACAAAGGTGGGATTGTAACAAATCAGAGTGAAAACACAGGATCTGATCTTGTTCCCAACAACCGCTCGTGCTAAAGCCCCACTGTCTCCAGTGGAGGAAATACCAACAGTCTGAGCCCAGAATAAGGCCTGCCACCTTGATTTCTGGAAAATGTGAAAATTATCAAAATTATAAACCAAAAAAACATGATCTGAAAGTACATTTCCACATATCTAATAATTATTTCAGTAATAATAAAACTCAGCATGGTAGCAAAAAGCGAGTCAATTTAAAGGCACAATACTTGATCAGTGACTGGCAAAATAATTTGACCTACTGTATCATTTTAAGGCTGTGAAAGGCATACATGTATTATTTGTAATCTTGTGTAAGACCTGTCATGTCTCATTCAGTGCGAGCCTTAAAGTGATTGTAAAGCATCCTTTGTTCCATTTTGGGGATTTTTGGGTTTTGATTTTCTGTTTTGTTTCTGTTTTGTTTTTAAGGAAAACAAAACATGAAAAGTCGGGATTAAAAAAAAACACAAAAAAACACAAAAAACAAACAACAACAAAACAACCAACAAAACTTCTTCAAACGGTAATAACCTGTAAAACTGACTCACGTCTCGAGATGAATTTGGTGCTTTGTTATTTCTGTTGATGTTGTTGTTGTGATTTAGCTGAGAAAAATTCTTCGACTCGGTTACGTGTGGGGAACTGCTGATAAAAACTGTCTCGTGTCACCCTCTACTGTAAGTACATGGCGAGAAACAACAACCAGAGGAAACCCAAGAGCGTAGCGAGAGCGCCGTGGTTTAGCTTAGCCTTCCACCGCCAGGAGATGCTGCCACCTCCAATGCTGGCAAAGCTGTGGGGTTGTCTTGACATTTCCAAATAACCCGCTCGGTGTCTGAACATTCTCATCTCTCTCGGATTCTGTTTCTGTGCTGGAATATCTTGGGTTTTTTTCTTTTTTCGAGTTAAATCACCGGGTTTGCGTCTATCCGACACCCTTTTTCTGTTTCGAGAGTATTGCTCCTTTAAAGGAATATTCCCGTTTCAGGGCATCTTTTCAATCCCACCATCCCTCTACTTGGGAGGGGAAAAACAACAACAACAAAATGAGATATTTTTAAGTGAATGCTGTAGTATTTTCTGTGTGTAATTGCAATTTTTTATTCCAGAAATACTGTAACTGTCTAGGGTGCAAAACTCCCATGCTGACCTATTCTGAAGAGAAGATCAGCATGGAGGGATATTTTTTAATTATGATTATTATTTTTTTTTAATTTCAGGAATCAGTTGTTTTTTTAATTATGATAGTATTTAAAGAAACTAGTACCAATTTTATATAACAGTTTAAAGAAGCTGAATGCTTTCTTCGCCTGAATATACCTGAAGAGAAACATTTTTTTCAATCAGTGATCCTTTGCAGTATTCTGAGAAAATGTTGGGATTTCTTCAGTTGTTTTATTTTGTTTTGTAAAGGAAACTTTCAACTGGTGTCTGTCCCCTTCAAGGAGGGCAGGACTCCTTCACGCCAAACTATAGACACACGGCAAAGTTTATACAAAGCCAAATTGTCAGTGGTACTGTAATTCCCAGTCAAACTCCATTTCAGGCAGATGTTTCTGGGCTCTGATTACAACCAATGTGATGGTCACATTTTCAAGCAAAGGGAGGGATTTGGTCTTGTCATCCCCTGTCTAACTCCCCAGTCTCTTGTTTGCTGTGCACATAAAGACATATATGTATATATATATATACATGAACTGATATATATTTGTGAAAAGCTTTCATTTCCCTTCTCCATTGTCTGTGCCCCACAGCCAGTTCCTTCTCAAGCGTTCTACTAACATTTCACCCTGTTTCTCCCCTCAATGTGCAGTCTTCATAAAAAGAGGTAATTTGTGAAGTGAACTCCCTGTCCCCACCTACTGAGTCCTTAAAACACAGAGGTGCCCATCCTCCAGCTACAGGCGTGCATTTCTCCTTCCAGAACTTTCTTTTGACTTGCCTTTAATGTTAGTGTAGACTTATCTTGATCTAATTCCCCATGTAAAGGCTCCCCTTGGTCCTTGCATGAAGAGCTCTGTTCCTCACATCTGCATTTCCATGGCAAAAGCATGAGAAAGGAATGGATGGCAAACAGCCCTGCTGTTCCTAGGGGACCATTTTTCCAGGAGGTGGCATTCTTGTTTTCTAAAGCAACCTAAGAAGGTTCTGCTCCCCAAACTCATCAACCTTGAGGTCTGGAAATGTGGTGCTGATCACTGACCCCATTGAACAGCCAGACCCTTCCCACCAGGACAGTGACAACGAGCCAAGGCACAGTCACCAGGTGCCAGCAGGAGGAGACCCTTCAGTGTTGCCTCTCAAGAGCAACTCCAGCCTGCCTTCCCTCAGGAACAGGATCTTATTCCACAACACCACACCAACAGCCGTCGCCTCCACCCCGCGCCAGGAGTGGAGGGGCAAAACACTCTGGAAGTGTCCTTACTTCTCAATGCAGTGCTAACTTCTCACAACCAAACCAGCTTAACCAAGGGCTTGACACGTCCCTGTTCCAAAGTCCTCCTCCTTCGTGGCTCGTAGTGTGGATAACAACAAAGGCAGGTGCCTCCACTGCGAGTTGAGACTGTTCCACTACTTGCATAAACTTTCTGCCTCTGCTTCTCCTTTCTTTGAATGATATCCATCAGCATCTTCATTTAGCTAAGGATTTCCAGGGAGAGCCTGTGTCCTCCCTGAAGAACTATTTCTTTTTCCAGGACTTCATTACAGCCTTAACATAAAGCACGTGCTCTGCCACTACTCCCAACATGTTCCTGCTGGACAGTTTGGGGTGGTGACCATTTCCTTTTGGGATTACCTGTGATCTTGTTGCCAAACAGCGCCTTTTGCCAAGCCAAAAGCTCAGGGTGGAAAACTACCCCAGACCTTTTATTGGTTCTAATCCCAGTGCTAAGAGTCTCGTCCTCTCCTCCTGTTTTATCTTTTTCCCTTTGATTTTTTGGTGTGCACTTTTGCAGGATGGTCAGCAACTTCTTTTGGTTTCACTTTGATTTTAACTCCTCAGCTTTTCCCCGGTACCTTTTTTATACCATATCCCACCTTCTGGCCAGAAGATGCTGCGTGAGGAGCTTTTCAAACTGCCATGGAGAGGGTTGAGCCTGCATCTATTCACAAGACCGGTGGGCAAGTTCTCTGGCACATTTGTGGTGCTTGATTCACCCTGGGATCATCTAAACCAGCCAACTGTGCCATGCCAGGGCAATGCCAAGGCATGAGGGCTCCACCATCCCGACTGTTATTGCTCAAACCTCCCCTGGCATGGTTTTGATCCACTCCAAGGAGTCCTGGGCTCAGGCACAGCTTGCCCAGGCTTTGGCACTGGCCAGAGACCGTCCCCAGTCAGCAGTTTGGATGCAGCTGCTCCATATCAGGTGTGGAAGATTTTCGGATTCAGGATGGGGCCAGCACTACTCAGTAGACTTCGTGGCCAGAATGGATCCTGGAAGTGCTTAATTTCCTGACAAAGATGTAACTCCATGCCACAGATCAGGATGCAGAAGGTGGTGGAGAACGTCAGCTCCGATCTGGCATTTTTTTGTTTTCTTCCTGATTCAATGGACAAGTTATTTTTCAGTTCACTTTGTTCCTTTTGCTGAGGTTATTTTGCAAACTGCATCACTTTTATGGTTCGGATGTCAACCCATCCATCCCTCCATCTATGTCAGATGGATGGCATGTTTACTGTGATAGTGTTACACATCCATAGGCAGCTAATTCAGAGACAGGAATCATTCGGACCAGAGCAAATCAACAGTGGAAACACAGGAATTACAAGGTCCCTGCCCATGCCCTTGTCATGCTTTGCCACCCACACGAGGCATTTTTCATCTGCAGATAATCCAACCTGAATTGTAGAAGAGGAGCCAATGGTGAATATTTACCAGTCCAAAGTGCAAGTGAGACACCCATTTCAAGTGTAAATATATATATTTTCAGTGGAGCTACTTCTCTGCTTCACCCTGTCCTTTTGTGCATCTGCCAAAAGTCAGCAGTCATTTGCATGTATTTTTATTTCAAGCTGACTGGATGAAATGGCAAAATTAATTCCAAGCTTTAGTGAATCGTCTGCTAAAACCTAGCTCACATGTGAAGCATCACTATTGACTTTCAGAGTGCAATCACCCCGTGCTCTATAGATATATTTTTGTACACACAAGATTCACTTCACAATTTATCCCACCCCTGGCCCTGCATGTCGCACCTGTCACCTGCACACCTGCAGCATGACTAAACCTCCTGAAGAAAATGTGGTCTGAGGTTAGTCCAGCATGATTTCATTGAAGCTCAGAGGTGCTTTGAAAAGGAAAACTTACTACTGTGCATTTGCAAAACCTTTTAGTGCCTGCTTGCTGGGCAGCTTGGGCAGGAGACAATTTGGACCTGCCGGAGTCGGTGGAAATTTGTGGAGACAGGCTTTCCTAGGATTTTTCCTCCTTTTACTGGGTTTGCTTTTCTCTGGGTTCTGCT